AGAACTAGGAAGAAAAAGAGCCAGGATTCAAACCCAGGCAATTTGATTACAGTCCATGATCCTAACCAATAAATTATACTACCTCTCTTGTACCATGGTTATATAGCCAAAGCACTTATCTCTTGCTCAGAAGGATGAAGTCTGGCGTCCCAAAGGCATCAATGACTCCCCCTCAACACCACAGAGACAAAGGGGAGATAAGATGAAATGAGAAAGGCTTTACAAAAAACAGGCTGTCGGTTTGACGGTTTGACGGGTAAGGAAACAGCTGCGATCAATCAGTCGTGAAGAGAGGGATTTTTCTCTTATTTATTTTTTTTTTTTTAACAGGCTGGGTCCCATTAGATTAAATTCTAGCTTCTCACTGCCCTTGCTCACTGGCCAGGCCCCAGCCTCTGCCTGCCTGTCAGCCAAAAGCTAGCTGTAAAACAACTGACCATTAACTATGATTTATAATCAGAAAGAAGCCATCCATGAGTACTCGTTCTGTAAGCCACTACAGAGTTGTGCAGATATCCAAGAAAGACGCTGCAACAGAACATAGCAAGCAAAATCTGCCAAGGAGCCAACCCTGGGCAAGTGATGCCACAACACAGAAGGAATAAGGAACAGACGCTTCACTATGGAATCCAAGAAAGGAAAGGAAACAGTCTTCTCTGAAATAAGGGCTCACAGAAAGAAACAGAATATTTCTAAGAAGAAATGACAACTCAATAGGGAAGATGAGAAGTAAACAAGCAGGGCTCAGAAAAACAATGGAAGAAAATAATAAAACAATTTTAGAAAAGATACCCTTAGAGGGATGAGCAAAGAGAGCAGACGTGCCTGCAAAGAGTCAGAAACAGAAAGGGCAGGCTGGTGAAAAACCGAGAAAAATAAAATGGAAACAATAGCTGGCAGTTCCAAGCCCCTCCTCTCTGTGCACTCTTCCAAACCCTTTTACTGTCTTATCTCCAGAAATCTGTATAACAACTCTTGGAGATAGATATACTATTATCTCCATTTTCAGGATGAGGTTTCAAGTTCAAGTAACTGGCCCAGAGTTAAACAGCAAATAAGCGGCAGGGCAAGGATTCAAATCCAGACATTATGGCTTTGAAGGAAGCGCCCGGACTATCTGTGTGTCTCCCACTGAAAAGATTAAGGCTTTTTAAAAAAAAGACTAGAAAAGCAAGGACAGAGAGGGCAAAGGTGATGCAATATATGGGGAACGGAAGAGAACAGAAAAGGAAAATGGCACCAAAAACAGTAACTTTAGAAGACATACCAAAAAAAGCTCCCGTAATAGAGCAAGACCTGAGAGAGGGAGTACACGGAGTCCCAAGAAAAACTGCTACAGAATAATCAATATTGAAACATAGCACAGTAGAAGTGCTGAACTTCAAGTACAAAAAAAGAATCGTATGAATCATAGGAGCAGCCGGGTGGGGGAAGAATCAAGTCATTAAGGATGGAAACAACAATCAGACTAACTTCTCTGTGGTAACATGTATTATTAAAAGATAGTATATTTTTTTTAAAAGATAGTATATTTTTGACATTACAGAGACAAACCTCAGCTTAATTACTGCAGACTGTGAGCTTTGATCAGACAACTCCCAAGTAAATAGTTTTGCTATCTATTCACGGAAAGAGAAGGGATTCTGTGCCCAAAGTTACAATTGTGCTAAGGAGCTGGACATCGAATCCAGGCTCCAGAGCACAGAGCACTTAGCACTCTTTTCTCTGCTAATTTCAGCCACCACTCACATTTTTAACCAATGCAAGGTTTTCAAAGAATAAAGGAGAGGATGCTGATTTCATAATACATGAATATAAATGAGCTTTCCACAACTCACTTTTCCTCCTAGGAAGACTGAATGCCAGTCAAACAGCATTCCCACCATGGTACAAAAGAAAACAGGAAGAAGATGCAACTGTATCATCCCCAGACACCTTCAGGAAAACATACTATAATATACACTATTCTGTGATAGGTACTATATTTTACATAGACTATACCATACATTCTATAGCAACTAAAGATAAATAATCCACTTTATGGATTAGATTATCCAGGGGCATATAATGATTCCAAATTACACATACTAAAACAAATCATTACAGTAACATTGTGCTCTGATAGTTCCTTCAGTGTTTGACCTTCAAACTTTAAAATGGGCTAAAAAAATATATATACTTAAGATAAGTTGTTCTCCAGGCTGTTTTATGAATGTCATATGTCCTTCTGTTACTAATTAACCTCACTGTATGTATGGGAGCCAAATATCCTCCCATCTTGAGCTTAGTGGAAGGGGATGGGACTCTGAAACAGACTCCAAGAAACGGCTCTTTCTTCACAAGGCTGATGACATCTGTCATTAGCTTATGATTGCATCAGGCCTTCCTTCAGGTATCACATTTGTAAATGGGCATAGTGCTAATGAAGATGATAATAAGAGTAATAAGAGCTAAAGCTGAATAATTAACATGTGTCAAAGGTAAACAAATCTCTTCAGTACATCCATTTCTTCTACTGAACCAAATAACCCCATAAGGTAGATACGTAGCAGCGTGTGTGGCATATAGTGAATGTTCCATAATAACGGTACTGTTACATGTGAAGAAACTAACACTTAAAGAGGTTAAGTAACTAATCTGGTGAAGACCAGATTGGAACCCAAGGCTGTCTCGTGTTCTTAGTCACCATTCTCGTCACATAGAAATAGTGAGGATGTCATGGTGGTGATCATTTTGCAATATATACAAATATCATTATATGGTACACCTAAAATTAATAGGATATATCAACTAGACTTCAATTAAAAAAGAGAGAGAGAGGACGTTCAATAAAGTAACATAACACGGTAGCCTACACAGGACAGCAGCCACACAGTCCCAAGGACAGGGTATCCCAAAAAGAGCTCTAGGAAAGCAACTTCTACCTAATACAAAGGCTAAAAATTGTTATTTAGGCCAGTGGGGAGAAAGGGCAAAAGGGAGGCAAGCAAAAGGATAAAAAACAAACAAACAAAAAAGCAATAACAAAAAACCATAACCTGCATCACAGAGAAGAACACATCGCCATTGTTTCTGGGCCCTAAAAAGTATCAAACATACCTGTCCAAACACAGGCCCAAGGACCAGACTGTACTTTCCCTATCCTGCCAGCTGACCAAGTTTCTGCAACTGGATACCTCCGGGAGTAATAATTGACACAGGGTAGGATGTGAGAATGCAAAAGAGCTCAAGAGTTTCAAAAGCGATTTTCGTGATTTTCTCCTTAGAGAAGTGCAATTATCTATGCTGGGGTGGGATGGGGAAGAAAAGGAATCTAAAAGAGAAAAGAAACAAAGCTAAATATGTCTGCACCTCATTACCCCCAGGGAGGAAATCATCCTACACAAAGGACAAAGGATAATCCTGCAGGTAAAGGGGTACATCCCCGACTTCATTGATACATACACATTTCAAGATAGGTATTATCAATGTTTCTTCCAAAGTTCTCAGGAGCCAAGGGGGGGTGGGGGGAGCGGAAACAAACCTCTGAGGTCATTAAGTCTGGGGACAGAATTGCAAATTCATACCCAACCCAGTGTCATCCACGGCACAATGCAGCAGCCTGGAAACTCCTTGAGAATAAGGTCCCTGTGATCCCCTTGCAGCACGTTGATGGATATCCACCAGACACCTAACTAGCCCTTTCTAATGATGCCAGTGAAAGCAACTGTTTTTCCACCAACACCTGCTTTTCCCACTATCACCTTAAATTATCAGCAAATAAATGTTTATAGCTTAAGGTTTAAAACTTATTTAGGTAGAACCATAAAATTCTTAGAAGCCCTAACGTTTAAGATTTCTTTGGGCAGAATAAATATACTTTTATTAAAATCGCAAGTTTGTAGCAGCACCGTCTCATTCTGGAGGTTTAAGAGAAAATTTAAAAAAGAGAGAGAGAGAGAGAGAGAGAGAGCGAGCTTGGAGCTGCTGCCCAAAGTACTGAATTAGCTCAAGTTGTCATCACCACAAGAGCTTTCCTAAAGAATATTCCACAATTTACGTGCAATTTGCAAGTGCCGAATCATTTCCCTCCTAAATGCTTAGCCTCGACAGCCAAAGGCTGAACAAGCGGAATCAAAAGCCCAAGATTCTAAACACCCCGACACTGTAGTCCAGGTTTTTCCCATACGGTCTGCGCGGCCTTGGACAAGTCAATGAGCCAAATAAGTCTCATTTTCCTCTTCTGTAAACTAGAAGGGGTAAGCACCTGTCCCACCTACCTCATGGCTGCGTCAGTGTCGTTAAGTGGAGCGGCTGCTCCAGAGGGTGGCCCGCTTCCTGCCGCCCCTATCCCCCTTGTCCCCCCTCGTCCCCAGGGCCAGCTCAAGATAGAAGGAGCCCGGATCTGGCGGTACGTGGTCCGCGGCTCCTCAGCAAAGGATGCTCCCCTCACTAGCCCTCCCCTTGGGATGGCGGCGACGAGCGCTCTGACAGTCACCCCGCAGCGGCGCCCGCCCGCTCCCGGCCACGAACCCCGCGTGCCCCCGGCGGTCCTTCCCTGGATTCTCCCAGGCTCGCCCGGCGCCCGCGACCCCCGACCGGCCGTGCGCCCCTCTCGCCCCCTGGTGGCGACAGACCCCAGCCCGCCGGGGCTGCACCGGCTCGCCTCGGGGCTCCTGCAGCTACGCCGCCAGGCCTCTGCCCGCTTCGCCCCCATAGCCTCGCCTCCTAGTCTCCCCAGGCCCCGCAGAGGCGGCGGTGGTCGCAAGGCTGCGACTCCTTACCGGGGAGCTTGAGCGCCCTGGATAGCACAGTCGCCATGGCGGAGGCCCCGGTGCGCGTGCGCGCGCCCGCGTCCTGCCGGGAAGAGTAGTTCACAGCGGGCGGCGCGCGGGGCTGGGACCTGGGAAGGTGGGAGCGGCGCGGCGGAGAGGGGCGGGGCAGAGGCGGGGGTTACGGCTCCCGCGCCCGCGTGCACACAGCTGCTGGCTCTGCCCCCGGCCGCTTCGAGCCGGACCCCTCACCTGGCAAGTCCCTTCCGCACTCGAGTCTCACTTTCTTGCTCAGCGAAACGGGGAAATGGAAACTGCCCCCGAGGCTTGCTGTGGTAACGAAAGGAGATAGCAGGTATTACGGGAAGCGCCGGTTGTGAAATGAGCACGGGCTTTGCAGGCAGACGGACGGGATTTGAACCCTGCCTGCATCCCTCACTCGCTGGGCCATCTTGGGTAAGTCCCTTGGTGTGACTAAGCTTCAGCCTCATTTTTAAAATGGAGACACTACCTCATTCACGGGCTTACTGTGACAATTAAATAAACTGTTTACGACACCCTGCAGCAGGTACCTAGTAAGTGTGTTTCTCTGTTTCTCAGTAAAGGGCGAGGTTTCCTAGAGCTCTAACCCTCGTCTTGGGTTTCCAGTTCTTTCCAGCTATCTCCTGACACTCTACCCTGCAGCTTCTAGCTTGAAGGCTCTAGGAACAGGAACTGACCTGCTTCTTACCCACAGGCACCAAGAGATCAGCATTTTAGTGCAGGAATGCTAAAGATGTTATCTATCTTAGAGTTGGGACGGGTCTTAGAGGCCATGTAGTCCACCCGCCCTGTCAGAGAAGAGAAAACGGAGGTTCAGAAGGATGATGAGACTTCTTTCTGTCATACAAAAGCTCTAAGATACCTCTCTCTCGGACCCCGCCTCATTCCCCTGAGAAATCGTCAGCAAGACTACCCTGAGGCTGTAATCCAAGAGACTCCTAACAGCCATCCCATCACCCTCTTCCCCATGAAAAAAAAATGTCCCTAATCTCTCTCTGCCTCAATTTTCATCTACAGAATGGGTTGAAATAGTTCCTATTCCACAGCCTTGTCCTGGGAATTAAATGGATACATGCAAAGCACTTAGAAGGTGCCTGTCACTTAGTACGGGTTTTATAAGTGTTAGCTCTTCTTTTTATTAGTAATTTATTCATGTTGACAATTTAATAATTTAATAACAAATAATACATTTCATAATAATGGATTTGTAATTTATTCATTTATCCTTTTAACGTTCTATAATACCCAGAATTTTTACTGTTTGCCACCTCTCAGGAGGTATGATTAAAAACCATATTTTACAGGGCACCTGGATGGCTCAGTGGGTTAAAGCCTCTGCCTTTGGCTCAGGTCATGATCTCAGGGTCCTGGGATCCAGCCCCGCAATGGGCTCTCTGCTCAACAGGGAGCCTGCTTCCTCCTCTCTCTCTCTGCCTGCTGCTCTGCCTACTTGTGATCTCTTGTCTGTCAAATAAATAAATAAAATCTTAAAAAAAAAAACAACAACCATATTTTATATTTATGTAGGTCATCTCCAAGGAGCAGCACTACAAGTCACAGTAAATCAGTAGTGGCTTGCCTGATAATCAGATTAGCTAATTGAAACACATTCTTGAAATAATGAAGACTGAGGAAAACAACTTTAAAGTGAGCAGGATGTAGGATAGGTCAGTTTTAGCTGCAAAAGAACAGGAATTTATGTTTCTGGGAGAGAGCAGTGGGGCTGGAATAGCCCTGTTACACAGAAGAGGAAGTAGAGAGGAAATCAGTTCACTCTTCATAGTGAAAGGGTATATTCTTAATGTGATGGAAATAAAATAAAATTGTACAGTTTAAAGTTCAGTTAAGGGCACCTGGATGGCTCAGTGGGTTAAAGCCTCTGCCTTGGGTTCAGGTCATGATCTCAGGGTTCTGGGATCAAGCCCCGCATCAGGTTCTCTGCTCAGCAGGGAGCCTGCTTCCTCCTCTCTCTCTGCCTGCCGCTCCGCCTACTTGTGATCTCTGTCTGTCAAATAGATAAATAAAATCTTAAAAAAAAAAAAAAAAAAGTTTGGTTAAAATTTTCCTTCAGGGGCGCCTGGGTGGCTCAGTGGGTTAAAGCCTCTGCCTTCGGCTCAGGTCATGATCCCAAGGTCCCGGGATCGAGCCCCGCATGGGGCTCTCTGCTCAGCGGGGAGCCTGCTTCCTCCTCTCTCTGTCTCTGCTAGCCTCTCTGCCTACTTGTGATCTCTGTCTGTCAAATAAATAAATAAAATCTTTAAAAAAAATTTTTTTTCCTTCACATGGTATAGTCACCAAAAGCACCAATAGGCATACACAATTATGTGTGAGTGTACACATATTGCATACATGTGTATCTCGAGCCCCTCAGCTTTCCATGCCCCTAATCTTTGTGGCATTTCCACTCACCCTGTAATCACTCAGCTTTGCCCTAATGATTTTCAGGGGGAAGCAGATGCTGAGGACTCCCTCCATCCCAGCTCCCTGAGGGGTCCTCCTCTTTGTTTTCTTTGGCCTTTCTGGAAATCTCCACCCTCCACATCTTTTTGCATCGTAACACAGGACCTCGGGCTTAAACTGGGTTTCTCTACTTGAATGTGCTTTTCTTCCAAGTAAAGGAAAAAAGCTCAAAGCGGCCACCAAGTAAATTAAGATCCTTGCCTTTTACATCGAGAAAACCTTTGAGTTCCTTTCTCAGTACCTAAGAGCATGTGAGAGTGCCTTCGCTATCTCAACACCCACTGAGGTCTCTGTGGAAAATGCAGACACTCTGGGCTTCCTGACTTCCCAACTTGGCTTACCTCCCCAAGAGGTAAACCAAGAGAAACAAAAAACTGGGGAGGGATGCCTGCAGGCAGCCTAAGCTGTCTAACTGTTGCACCTGCTATGAGGAGCAAAAATTCCATTTCTTAAAGTCAGAACAGAAGCCAGAAGAGCCCCTTCTCTTCTTCCTACATTGGTGGGAATATTCTTTACCAAGCTTCCAAGGTTCGAATACTTGGTAGAGGGACCCCATATTAGCTGGCTCTTATCATCTTTGTGATATCCCGAATAAACATCCTACATGGATTTGCGATCAAATCTGGTCCTCTAATCCTTAACATTCTATGACCACTGTTTCCACTTCTGCTGTTTCCGACGCTCCGAACTAGCTTTCCCCACTTCCTCTTGGAACCAGTACCACTGTGTCCACCAGCACCTCCACCCCTTCCTCCTGGTACCACTGAGACTTCCAGGCCTCCTGGCCATTTCTACTTCCTTTTAAGACTGCTCCTTCTTCCTCTGTCTCCCCGCCCAGTCCATGCCACTTCGCATTTTAGTGCTGTTAAAATGGCAAAGCTGTTCAGGGCAGGGAAGATTGCCTCTCTTCTATTTTTATGTTACTCTTAATTAGAAAAAATACAAATGCTATGCTGCCTCTTCTTCAAGGTCAGAGACAGTATTTTCATTAAACAGAGCTTTCCATTTTTACTTAGTAAGTCAACCAGGGCAGGGTTTTTGCTCTTAATGAACAACCTCACAGTTTCAGTGGTTTTAGAGACTAAGTGTTCATTTGGGCTCATGTCACAGTCAAAGTGAGAATGGGGATAGGCAGTGATAGGGGTTCTAGTCCTCCCAGTTATTCAGGGTTTCTTTCGGGCTTCTTTCTTCATCCTTAGGCCTTGGATTCCTCCATTGGATTATTTGCATCCCCAACCAGGCAGGAATTTTTCTGTGCCAGGCCTGGACATGGCTTATGTGACTTCTGCCCACATTTATTTGGCCAGAACTCAGACACAGAACATGTATGCCAGGAAGGTATGAGCCCAGGAAGAAAAGGAAACAGTTTAGTGAGTATCTATTCAGCTGTGCTGTAGTAGACACCCTACATCTTTATGGGATACAGACCTGAGTTCTTGGTAGTGGGGAGGGGGTTTGGCACTGCTCTACTTAGAATCGCCCCTCTCCTCTAGAGATTAAAGTTTTGTTCCTGAGCTGAGCTCCTTGTCCTGAGTTAAGACTTTCCACTGTGTGTAAGGTAAGGCTCTCCCAAAAGGCTCCTCGGTCTCTCTAGGTGCCATTCTTACAATGGTCAGCAGGGCATGGACAAGTCCAAACCCACTGGCAGGCCCATCTCCGGCTCAGAGTACTACCCTCTGCCACACTGGTACCAAAGACAGAATCAGGAAGCAATAATAAGATTTTAAAAACAAAAAGAAAAGCAAATAGCACTGAGACCAGGGAGACTGAAAAGAGCAAAAGAGGTGCTCAGCAAAGATGATTATGGGGCTAAATGCCCATGTCAAGGGTCTTATGAAATCAGCCTTGCTTTCGGATCAGGACATTCTAAAAGGGCACGCACACACGGTATATTCACTTGTCACCACAGACAACTGGACTCTGGGACCAGGAGTTGCATGGCTTATGGTGAAGACAAATAGGTTTATGTTCTCAGAGCGTCCCTTAATCAAACATAAGACCCATCCGGTGTGGATTCATACAGACTCCCAGTCTATAGAACTTTCTAGAGTCTCGACTATAAAATGCCTTCTGGGCCCTGAGATTTAAACAAAGGCTTCTCCTTAAGTCTTTGGCTGGAACATATGTTTAAGAATAACACTATAATTAAGGACAGATCTGCCCAGGACAGCTTGGTTCCCATTCCTCTTGGCCTTCATCCTAGCTTGTTCCAATGTCTACCAAAGCACTTGTGGTTGTAATGGGCATGCCAATAGCTACCATGTACTGAGTACTGATCTCCTACAGTAGAGGACATTGTTGAGGACCCTTGCCAACCTTGACCCAAAACCAAAACTCCGCCCTTCACTAGCTTTCAAAAAAAAAAAAAAAAAAAATCCAGTGAACCAAGTATATTTTGATTTATGTGTTTTCCTGAAGATTTAAGGGGGCTAGGGATGGAGTCACAGGGGACACAAAGCATTTCACCAAAAATATCTGTTCAGCACAGGTCTTCTCCTGGACCCTTGCTACTAGCTTCATCACTGTGTCTTTCTCCACTGGGACCCTCTTGTGTCTGCCACACTTTTAATCTCTTTCTTCTTCTCCCTTTTCTGCCTTCTGCTGCCATTAGCCTTGACAGGACGCTGGAATCTAATGTCCATCCTGCAGCGGGCATGGAAGCCATCTAACTCACACAGTGGGCATTCTGACACAATGTGTGCCATGTTGTCCCTTAGGTCTTATCACCCCAATCTTACCACGATGATGTATAAGCTGGATGGATAAAGCCACTGGCCCAAAGTTGCACCACTCCTAGATGCAGGAAGGAGGATTCAAATGCAGGTGTTTGTTTGTTTTTTTAAGATTTTATTTATTCATTTGACAGAGAGAGAGAAAGATCACAAGTAGGCAGAGAGGCAGGCAGAGAGAGAGGGGGAAGCAGGCTCCCCGCAGAGCAGAGAGCCCGATGCGGG